GTGATCGGACAATGTTATCATCGGCCTCACACTCCAGGTCTTCCTCTGATTCACTAGCTGAATCGGTGAATGTGAGGTTAGAAGACAAGGCTTCCATCGGAATAGGCCATTCTAGATGATTCTGACAAGAGCCAAAATCATGTGGTAGAAGAAGCTTTAGCCGCTTTCCGCTAGGGGTGGGTTCAAAAAACCGAAAACCGAAAAAAACCGAAAACCGAACCGAACCGAGGCCGAAAAAAACCGAACCGAAAAAAAACCGAACCGAAACTGCCAAACCGAACCGAACCGAATCTGGCTGGTTCGGTTTCGGTTTTTAAGGTTCAGAAACCGAACCGAACCGAACCGAACCGAACAGATATATATTTAATTTTTTTCAATATTATAAATAATTTAGTGATACAATTATAACAAGACATAACCTGTTACCAAGTTGGTTTGCTTGAAACTTTTCAAGCCCCTGCGCATGGGTTCGAATCCTCATGCCTCCAAGGTTTCAGAAATTTTTTTTAGTTTTTTTGAGCAATCAACAAACCTTTTAACTTAAAATTAAATAAATACTAAAAAACATGTTGGCAGCAGGGTTTGAACCCCTGACCTTATGCTGGGAAAAATTGCTTCAAACCAACTTGACTGTAGGCTTTATGTTGTTATAATTGTACCAGTAATATATTTATAGGTTGCTAATATTTAATGCTTTATAAAACCGAACCGGGCCGAAACCGAACCGAGAAAAACCGAACCGAATACAAACCGATTGAAAACCGAACCGAACCGACCCGAACAGTAATTTCGGTTCGGTTTTCGGTTTTGGCAAAAAACCGAACCGAACGGAACCGAACCCACCCCTACTTTCCGCCCCTGTCGTGTTGTCCACATCTCCCAAAGAAACTCGAACTTATGCTCCAGGAAGGTCTGATTGGAACGCCTGTTGCGTAGAACTCCATGGCCCGAAGTTGCTGGGGATCGCCCAAAGCCATATACTGTGGCGCAGTATTCCTTATAGTTGGCAGCCTTAGATCCGCAAGCGGGTTCGAAAACGTTAAAGACTTACACAGAAAGACCATTTCGGATTGATGATGAGATCTCAGCCCGTGAGTAGTTAGGGTGATTGGGCCACCGCCAAACCCATTCCAATGTAGGTCGAAGCCCACCGAATTACCATTTATAATTGTAAATAAATGTTTGGCAGCCATAGGCCCGCTCACCACAATGTTATCTCCAATATTTGGGCTTTGTGGATCAAGGCCCGCCACTCCATCAAGTTTAATTGGAAAAAAGTTGTTTTTATTGGGCCTGCTCCCGTCACATGGATCTACACTATTTCTAGTGAATATCTCCACTCTTGTTCCATTAAAATACTCCCCGCCTGTTGAAATATGTGCCTCCTCTATACTAGAGCCACCGCCATCTTCTTTCCCATCTAATTCCAAGCTTTTGCTTTTACCCGGAGAAATCATGATACTGGAGCTTCCTTCCAATTTCGAAATCATTAAAAACTCATTTACCGCCGCTTCTATTGATTGACTCGCCGTAGCTGTCCCGTCCTGTTCTTGAGATGGCGTCCCACGCTCACTTTCAGGAAAAGTAAGGTCATAGAGTGGGTTTGCATGCTCCTCGTAACTCGCGCCCACAGTCACAGACCTGTTTTGATCATGCTTTCTGTCACATCCGATGGTGACTGGGCAGTCGAAGACACCGATTCGGAAGCTAGCGCAAGTCCCCGTCGCGTGAGCTGCCTTTCCAAGCTCAGCCGTCGCCGGATGATGTATTCCAGAAATCCTTTGTAATTGCTGATCCTTTTTCAGAGACCCAACTAAAGATTCCGATTTACCCCGATCTTCAACCGAAAGCATAGGTCTCTTCGCTGGCGTTAATTGCCGGATCCTGACCCTGAAGACTAGGTCTCCGTCAGCCACTTCTACTACCTCAGGGATGAAACCAGTGAAGTTGGTTTTTAGTTTTATCTTTGCTTCAAGCAGATAACCGAAACTAGTGGTTGCTTGGTCAATGTCCGCCAGACCTCCGCAAGCCTTACCAATATCCTTGAAGAATTTTTTGGTCCAAAGATGCGGTGGTAAACCTTCCAGTGCAACCCAACCTCCATAACTGACCGCCATTCTTTTATTTGAATTCAAACTCTCCCACCACCCCGCCAGTTCCACCTCGGGATACTCCTTCATAGCTATAGCTCCAAGTAGTGCAATTTTTTTTGCTTCCTCCTCGTTCTGGCAAACAAACAGTGCTTTGTTGCATTGAAATGGCGAGAGTCTGATGTCCGTTCCCAGAAGATTTCGAAGTGAGGTCTCCACCTCCCTCCAGGATTGATGCACCACCTTTCTTTCACAGACTACAACACTTCCCCAACTGAAAGATTCTTTAGAGCAAGTCCTCTGATTCCCAGTGTATTCTTTCCGAAAATCCTCTCTGGCACTCCGTGTGGATTCCTCAGTTGACGTCGACTTGCCTCCAATGACTGCATCCCTGTATGAGCCCTGAAAGCCGCCGCCCAAAAGATTTCTCCTAGGCTTAGTTCCAACCCGATTCACCTTCCTCATTGTAGCCCCCGTCTTCTTTCCCCCTCGCAGGATCTCAGACATCAACTCTTCCAGATTCCTCCATCCAATGCCTTTAAAACCTTTCGGAACGAAGATATTTCTGACAAAACCATCCTTTTCAGTTTTGGAAAGAACAAGGACCTCCCCGTTTCTGTTTAGAAATCCTTCAACCCAAAACTGATAGTTGTGACCCTTGTATTTTCTGAAGAAGTTCAGTCCGCCCGTGTCAATGGCCGCCTTTAACTGATCAGTGATCCATGCTGCACAACCCAAGTCAAAAGATATCTGATATCCTCTGGCTCTCGTTCTCTCTGTTACCCTAATCCTCTCGCCAAAAGACTTCTCTTCGATCTCTAAAATGAAAACCTTGTGCTCAACTTTAAAATCCCTGGACAAGTGTCTGTAGCTCATCTTGTCTTATCTTCTTCCTCCTCAATCAGAAGGTTAACAAATGTTCATATATTTAAATACCATCTCACAACATAGTGACCCCAATCCATACCAGGCGTTTTCTAGGGCACTACATTGATCTTCCAAGACATTTTGACTACAACTTTTTTTCATTGATGAATAACAGAAAAAGTGGGCTCGCACATGACTGCTACAAACATGAAGAGGAAGCTTGACCAGATGAAGGAATCTGATGGTCAGGTTTTACTTGATCATCAGAGATTTGTGGGTTTGTTCCAAAGGCATTTATTGCCTTCGTCTTCTGGGGCTGTACCGCGTAATGAAGCTCCAAATGATCAACCTCTGATGCCTCCTCCTTCTAGGGTTCTGTCCAGTACTGAGGTTCCGAATGATCCCCCTCCGGTGCCTTCTCTTTCTGGGGCTCTACCGACTGCTGAGACTTCTCCTAAGCAACCTTTGTGAAGGCTCCCTCTTGTTTGTTTATTTTGACTCAAGTATATGTACATATTTGTAACTTATTGGGGATATCAATAAATAAGCTTTCCTTCATTTCAACGTATTGTGTTAAATATACCAAAGCTTTCTTCGCTAAGTTCTTTGAATTTTCTTTTGTTGAAGCTTGAATGTTGAAGCTTTGTGAGTGGAGCATGTAGGTTGAGGTAGTGTTCCCTTAATTTCCCGAGTAAGGAAAACTTCTTGGTTGGATACTTGGAAAATCCAAGTCACTGAGTGGGATCGGCTATATGAATCTTAGAACGCCATTGTGTTCTGTCCTGTGTCATGTCCTCCGTTAGATCCAAGTACTCTAAGTCTTTTCTTAGGATCTCTTCCAAAGTTTTCCTAGGTCTTCCTCTACCCCTTCGGCCCTGAACCTCTGTCCCATAGTCGCATTTTCTAATCGGAGCATCAATAGGCCTTCTTTGCACATGTCCAAACCACCGTAACCGATTTTCTCTCATCTTTCCTTCAATTTCGGTTACTCCTACTTTACCCCGGATATCCTCATTCCTAATCTTATCCTTTCTCGTGTGCCCACACATCCAACGAAGCATCCTCATCTCCGCTACACCCATTTTGTGTACGTGTTGATGCTTCACCGCCCAACATTCTATGCCATACAGCATCGCCGGCCTTATTGCCGTCCTATAAAATTTTCCCTTGAGCTTCAGTGGCATACGGCGGTCACACAACACGCCAGATGCACTCTTCCACTTCATCCATCCAGCTTGTATTTTATGGTTGAGATCTCCATCTAATTCTCCGTTCTTTTGCAAGATAGATCCTAGGTAACGAAAACGGTCGCTCTTTGGTATTTCTTGATCTCCGATCCTCACCCCTAACTCGTTTTGACCTCCATTTGCACTGAACTTGCACTCCATATATTCTGTCTTTGATCGGCTTAGGCGAAGACCTTTAGATTCCAACACTCCCTACTATCAAGAGTAGCAAGGGAAAAAATGAAACAACCTGACTGATGCGGGAGCCAAGTCCAAAGAATGATAAGTATCCCCATCCACGTATCAAGCAGCACATAATTGAGAGTATAGTTTTCGTGTACAATTTTTTCTTTTTTTTATGAACGGAGACCTATAGTTAATAAAATTTAATCATGTATTTGAAGTCTCAGAGCCTTATGTTCATTGTCTTTGGATCTTTTTACGTCACCTGATATATGTCTTCAAGTTTTTGCTTTTAGAATCTTTATTAGTTTAGCTCTTTCGATGTTTCGTTTATGTATGAGCCCTAAAAAGGGTACTCTATAGTAAAGTGAACAATAGATGACATTAAAAGTTCTTCTGAGTCCACGACACCTTTGGTGCTAGGCCATAATTTCTCGTCCCGGACTGGTTCCAAGAAACCATAGGTGCAATGTCTGAGTTCAATGCGAGATCTCTCCCTCTCTCCTTTTGCATAATCTTTGTCCCAAGTTATTCAAAATCTTTGCAGCTTCAGTTAGTTTTTCTTTTGACAATAATTTTTAAAATGGAGGACTTCAATGCTGGTGTTAATTTACTGTTAACATGATTTTAACAGATATTGTGGCCTGATGGAATATTTATAACCAAGCATCCAAATAGAAAACCGCCACAGCCTACCAACTTATCGCAAAATTCACCTCAGGGTCAGAAACCTACAGAAATTTCATCACCTAGACTTGACGAGCACCAGCAACAGGAGGCAGATCGACGCGCAAAGTTTGTCTATGAACTAATGATTGGTATTATTTTTCGTCCAGAAAATCTCCTAATTATTTTCTGCACTTGCCGTCACTATATTACATCTCGTGTATAATATTGGAAATGTCGATGGCATGCTCTAATTTTCTGGTTTTAAATGTAGATAATGCACCCTCTGCTATTGTTGGTCTCGTTGGTAGTAAGGAGTATGAAAAATGTGCTAAGGATCTCTATTACTTTCTTCAGGTAATTATTGTTTTGAGAAAGTTAACAATGCTCGCATCTTTCTTCTTTCCACCTGGTTTTGTCGTGTCTGGATTCTTTTAGACAGTTCTAACATTTCTGTTTTCCTTGCACAGTCATCTGTTTGTTTGAAGCAACTGGCTTTTGACCTTCTTGAGCTGCTGCTTCTGACGGCATTTCCGGAGATGGAGTACGTATTAAAGCAGTTGCATGAAGAAAAACATCGATTTGGCGAGTTTAAAGCGCAATAGTGGGTCGTCCTATTTGAAGGTAAGTTTAGAGATAGACTTTTCCTCCTGAGGAACGTACTGGCAACATGATTCTGTTGCCTGCTTCGGGTTTTTCGCAACCGATATTCATTCATTGTATTGGCGGCAAGGGAATCAAGTCATTTTCTTGCCCGAATTTTGTACAGTAACTTTTTAGTCAGAAACTTGAGGAAACTCAATGTAAATCTTGAGATTAGTGCAAATTTACAATACACCTCAACTCTTTCTTTTGAAAAACAATCCGATTATCGACCAGCCAAATGGAGTTTTTGTACATTGAAATCGAGTATTAAGCACCACTTAAGCACCCTGGTAGCGGTGCTGAAAACCTACTTCGATTCTTGTATTTTGCCATTTTACTGATATGGTATGGTTTACTCAATGTTGGGATATAAGAAGAATGCATTAGTTTTTAAAAATTCAAACGATGAGTTCATTTGTCAAAATTTTCAACCAACATTTTACGGAAGGGTTATTAGCTTTAAGCTTATTCTTAGCTACGCCCTCCGCAACTTGATTGTAATCTCATTTTGCTTTTTTGTAACTCAAAATGCTTTACTCTCTAAAACTCATAGTTTGCTTCAGTTTGCCCCTTGACTCTTGATTTTGATCTTATTTTGCCTCCTAAAACTTGAAACTCATCTTTACAAAACTCAAAATTTGCTCCACATTGTCTTAGGTCTATTAATTTTTTATGTGAGTTTCGTTTGAGTGCGCTAGACTAGTCAGTTTTTTATTTTTTTTTTCATCTCTTCAAATTTTTCTTGAACTTAATATTCTCTAATTGTTGAATGTTAACACGAAATGAAGATTTATAATCAAATTTATTGCACATGTGACATAATTTTATTGAGTGTTGATCTCGCATACGTTTCAGAAGATAACCTATAAGTTTTTGGGAGAAATAAGAGTTCACAAGTCAAAGTAGAACGAATTTTGAATTTCAAAAAGTAAAATGATGAGTTTTCTAGTTACATGAGATAAAAGTGAGATAAAAATGAAATTTCAGACAGTGTAACCAAAAATAAGCCTCTTTTTAACTACAGCAATGGATTGTTGCAGGGGCTGGGAGGTGAAATTTCGAGTGGATTTAATCAACAAAAGCTGGATCATCGACAAAACTCGAAAACATTTGACTAATCCTCATGCAAACATAAATGACAAATTACACTTTGCATTCCCCAAATAATCTCGGTTTAGGATGTTGATCTACGTAGCAAAAGCAATAACATGTTGATTCTATATTAACCACGAGCATCAGCAACATAAAAGCAGACAGGGGAGAAAATAGTTCACGAAGCCGGTGGAGTACTAAAACCCTTCGCCGGAAACCTAATAGGAACACTAGATTGCCTACATATGAAAAAAAAATGGGTGCAAAACCTACCATCTGAATCATATTCAATCCCTATCGGTGATTAGAACAGACTAATATCACGTCAATGCCATGCCCCAATCTCGATCGCATTCAGGCTCACCAGAGGGACTGGAACAAATGACCAGCATTTCAGACACAACCCAACCCAAAATGGAAAATGCAGTTAGATTATCCCATCATACAAAATGAACTCAGATCCTAACTCTCTCAGCGCAACATCGCTGATCAAGCATATACCTCAAAACCCCAAAACACAACAAATTCAAAGACATTGCACATCATCAAAACATTACGTGATTATGAAACGCAAGTGACATTAGTCTCATCCATTCTCGTCCACCACAAAAAGCAACTAATATTTAAAGAGAAGATCACAACTAAAGCGACATCCATCAAAAACAATAACAGCGTTCATATAGAACTTGTCCAGAATCATAAAAGCTTTCTAAAGAGTACCCCAAGTTGAAATCAAAATGACCGCTGAGAAGACTTAAGCATTTGCGGCTGCTCCCTTCTTACGTGGTGCAGCTTCGGTACCTGTTCAAAACAAAATTCCCAATATGAAAACGAATTCAAGCACGAAACTCAAACCAAGGAAAACAAATGAAGAACAAACAAACAGAGCTAGACCATAAAAATCCCACAAAAAATGATCTGATTAATACCTTCTCTGAAGCCGCTCTTGAATCTGCGAGGCACATTGCGCAGATACCTCATCCTTCCAGTTCCAGTGGTCTTCCTTCGGATCGCCTTTTCACTCCAATTGTCTATTTTTAAACATACAAAACCCACAAAAATTAAACCGCAAAACAAATAATCCTAAACAACACCTTTCTGCTGAAATGACCATCAAAATCCAAAATTCATTTTCTGGGTAATCATAAATCTTAACAAAAATGTGAACTACAACTCCAAATCATCGATCCAGATTCATAGCAAGACCAACAGATATCGATATATATATATATAAGTGTATGTATATATATCGAGAGAGAGCGAGAGAGGTGAGAATACGTACACTTCCTCTTGCGGGCAGCAGGGAAAGCACAAGCAGAGCACCTACTCTTCTGTAGATGGAAGCTGCGGCGGCCACACCGGACGCAGAGGGTGTGGGTCTTGTTCCTCCTCTTACCGAAACTCCCAGTTCCCTTCCCCTGTTTTCGTATTATGCACACAGAAAAACAAACGCAATCAGTTCGGTGTTACACAAGAAGCGAGATCTACCATAACGGACTACACAGAGACTATGAGAGAGAGAAAGAGATGGAGGTACCATGGCTGTGCGGAGAGAGAAACCCTAGCTGGTGAAGTGGAGGTCTTCAAGCCAAAGAAGTGAGCGGCGGAACGAGGAACCTGCGCACGTGAAAGATAACTAGGGTTTTAGGGTAGCTGGTGGAGTGGTCAGCCTGGGCCGGCGTGTCTTTAACAGCCCATCTGTGTTCGGTTTTGTCTATCTTGGGCTTTGGCTTCACAAATTTCCAACTTTACCCTCATTCGTTGTATGCATTTTTCGAGTGTTTATATAGATGACAGGTTCGATGCTAGAATATAAGAATACAGTTAGACATATTGCATACCTCAAAATTCCTTCTTAGAGTAAAATATCATTGTAGGAAAAAAAAAAAAAAAAAAAAAAAAAAAAAAAACCGAAAGGATGTCATGTATTAACTAGTTAGGTATTAAAGGAAAACTTTAGTACACAAAGACGAGTTTCAAAAGGAAAATATTTAATTTCTCGGGCCAGCGCTTAGGTGGGTTCCTAGATGGATTAGGCGGATTTAAACAAATATGTTATATTTCATATAAATAAGTGTCTGTTTATACTTAAAATATATATAATTACATCATAAATTACAAAATTGAATGATATATATATATATATATTATGAAGTATTGAAACATAACGAAAACATATGAAACAAGCATATAATTTGTGTTCATTTTAGTATTCAACAAGTTTCTTACAGTTTCTAAAAAAACATACAAAATGAAGGTTATCTATTTTCTATCTAAGTGAGTCGCAATCTAGGCGGGTGTCTAGGTGCGTCTGGACGGGTTAGACAGGTGCCTCAACAGGTCTAGGCAATCTTTCTAAATTTTCAAACGTCTATGTATTAATCTAGAAATAGCCAACAACCTAGCGCCTATGCGGCGTTAAGTGGGAATTTTTAGAACAATGCATATAAAATGTAATTACTTCTTAGAGGTAAACCACATTTTGAATGTGTACATGAATTTTTACTTTTTGTAATTTTAATGATTTGCTTTTGAATAGGTGTCATGCAGTTTTAAAAACAAGAATTGCTCCTTAATCATTAATATTATACAATTTGAAATTGAGAACTCATCTAGTAAAAATTGAAAGACACTAAAGCAATATAAAATAAAAAGAAAACTAATGAAAATAGTTTGAAAACTTTGAGTTTTAACGATAATGACAAAATAAAGGGTAAAATGAATAGTACCATGATTGATTTTTTAGTGTAAAAATGTAATTTTTTATTAAAGTGAATAGTACATTGAGCTTTTTGTTAAAGTTCCCTAAAATAAAAGCTAAAAAAGCTGTTATGCACTTCAAATACATCATGCACAGCTCCCAAGTTATAAAAATAAAAAAAAGAGTGCATCAGGACTATTTTAAAGTGTTTGAAAAAAAAATTAGGTTGATAATTTCCAATAAAAAATACAAATTAATTGAGCTGTCAAATAGGTTTGTACTTGACACACCCCGACCGAGATCAAGGTTACACACCCCGATCCTAGAATCAAGGTGTGCTGGGCGTCACGTGAGCGTGACTTAGCCAAAAGTGCGACCCGGAAGCAAAAGATATGAGAAATAAGAAGGAATTTAAACCAACCACTAGCAGTAATATCCTACTAGCATAAAAGAGTGAGTTATAAAGTAAAACACACGAATTCAGAGCGCAGATACTAGGTGCAGTCAAGTAGGTCTATAATTAAGAGTACAACACCCGCAGGTGAGTCCTACATGCAGGACGTCTGTCAGAACGCCGAAAAGAACCTCGTGAGCCACCAACTGCTAGCTAGAACCTGGAGGGGCACAAAACAAAGTTGAGTGGGTCAGTAAAACCAAAGATTTCCCAAAACATTTCATTTAAAACATTTCTAACCCCTCACTGTAAAACCTGTATACTTTCCCAGAAAATAACATAATAGCATAATATTTACTCAAATTGCTCAAGCATCAATTTTATCAAAAACCAGTAATTATGCCAGCAATAATGTCAATGATTAAAAATATGGATGCATCAACATGACAGGCGATATAATGAAATAACCGGAGACCCTACAGTGGTCCTGTATGGCTAATTCCAGCTCAAAATCAAACCCAGCCGGAGTCCCCACGGTGACCTGTACGGCACTACTCTGCACGTCACTCGGACTACGTAAGGTAGTCTGTACGATGAAAAGGTGTAAGAATACGCTCTAGTGCTTCTCTCATCAATCATCGGCGTGTATAAACTAAGGTCACCCACTAGTCGGAATCACCTCTAGCGATCTATACGACTAGCATGTCGGAACCCTCACATGGTCTGTACGACATTCACCTACTTGGATCCAAGGCGAGCGTGCGATGCGGTGAATAATAAGCACTAACACCAAGGGTGCAGGTTATGAGCTTTCAATGCAATTCACATAAAATAAATCGTATGAATAACGTAAAACTCACATGTGCATCCACATCATCAATTCATATATATATGCATCAATTATCAATTCAAATATCTCATAATATGCATGCATGGCATTTTAAAACATATTTTCATATAAATCCAATTTCTGGGAAATTAATAGTATATAGGTATATACGAAAACAAAAACTGCCCACTCACTGGTAAGTCGATGGGTCGTAACCCCCGTGACGTCCCTGGATGCGCTAGTCCTCGGGATAGGTGTCACCTATATGCGAAACAACTATAGAAACGTTAATTAAAACACATAACCAACAATTCGAAATAACTTCTCATACGGTGCTCAATTTGGGTATGTGAATATACCACATTGACCTACTTGACGTCACGGACGTTGACAATTTTTTAGAAAAAATTTTGGGTCTGCCACGCGCCCCCACGCGCCGTGGGTGGCACGGACCTACGCACCCCCACGCGCGCTTCTTCTTCCCCGCGTCGCCGACACAGTGTCGCCGGAGCCGAAAACCTGCAACTCGACCTTTCTCCCTCGTTTCTTCATCATTTTTCATGAAATTTTCACCTACGAGTTCTAAATTAAGAGGGGAAGGGATCTATACCTTCTAAAATCCTTAAAAACCTCTGAAATTTCGTCGGGAAAATCCTCCAATTCGGCCAACTTCGAACCGGATGATCCTGACGTCCCAAACCTTCAAACGAAGCACTCCAAGCTTCCTTGGGACCTCAATAAGCTTACTATGAGCTTAGAATTTCCTGAAATGCAAGATTTTACGTGTGCATGAACAGTGCACCATTTCGGGGTTAGGGTTTCACGATGATTCAGAGGGTTTCACTTCCTAAAACTAGTACCATTCAACTCAGAACGTCAAAAGGATGAAGAACCATACCTCATTAGCTTCGATCCGTGATGTTTAGATGGTCTTTGGGTGTGGCCGTACAATTCGAGAGGGAGAGAGTGAGAGAGAGCCGTGAGGGAGGAGAGAGAGAGAGACACGAGGTGAGTGAGGGAGAAGGAAGTGTGTGTGTGTGGTCCACCCTAACCTTAACCACACGAATAACAGCTATTAAATTAATAAAATTTTCCAAACTTAGGAAAATAAACATTATGAATATAGTATATCACACACCCACCTTAGTAACATCGAGGGCAGCATCGTCATTTCACGTCCTCATTATATATTCCCGGAACGAGCTGTGACAATCTCCCCTCCTTATAGAATTTCATCCTCGAAATTCATACGACCGACTAATCCGCTTAATACCCGAAGAATAACCTTGGGTACATCTCTCTTATTCGATCTTCTGTTTCCCAGGTAGCTTCTTCTACTGAATGGTTCCTCCATAATACCTTCACCAAGCTCACTGTCTTATTCCTTAGAACCTTGTCTTTCCAATCCAAGATAGTCACTGGTTCTTCATCATACGTCAAATCCGGATTAATCTCCAGCGGTTGAGGAGGAATCACATGTGAAGGGTCAGAAACATAATGTCGAAGCATCGAGACATGGAACACATTATGAACCTTAGATAACTCCGGAGGCAACTCCAACCTGTAGGCAACTTCACCAATCCTTTCAGTGATCTCATAAGGTCCTATGTTCCTAGAACTTAACTTTCCTCTCTTCCTAAATCGTACCACACCTCTCCAAGGTGACAATTTCAAGAATACCAAATCACCCACATCATAAACTCAATCAGTAGCATGTCTATCTGCTAAACTCTTTTGTCGATCCTGAGCTGCTTTCAGGTTAGACTTAATCACCTGAATATTTTGAGTAGTCTCATCCACAATCTTCGGGCCTTCCAATACTCTTTCACCAACCTCAGACCAACACAATGGTGTACGACAAGCTCTACCATAAAGTGCCTCAAATGGTGACATACCAATGCTCGAATGAAAACTATTATTGTAGGCAAATTCCATTAAGTCTAGGCGATCATGCCAAGAATCACCAAACTGTAACACTGAAGATCTCAACATATCTTCCAACGTCTGAATAGTCCTATCTGATTGCCCATCAGTTTGAGGATGATAAGCAGTGCTATAAAGCAATTTCGTACCAAGAACTTCCTGAAAAGCTACCCAAAATTTAGAAGTAAATCTTGGGTCTCGATCAGAAATAATATTCACTGGAACTCCATGATACTTCACAATCTTCGTGATGAACAACTTAGCCAATTTATTCAGATGATACTTTTCCCTCACTGGAATGAAGTGCGTTGACTTGGTAAGTCGATCTACAATCACCCAAACACCATCGAATCCATTTCGTGTACGAGGAAGCTTATACACGAAATCCATGGTTATATTTTCCCATTTCCACTGAGGAACGGGAAATGGCTGCATTCGCCCAAAAGGCTTCTTTCTTTCCACTTTGACTTGCTGGCAAACAATACATCTACTTACATATTCTGCAATTTCCCTTTTCATACCCGGCCAATAATAAAATGGTCGAATGGTATGATACATCTTAGTTCCTCCTGGGTGTATCGCATAAGTTGAACAATGCGCTTCATCCAAAATTTCCTTCTTTAATTCCTCATTATTCGGCACATACATTCTGTTCTCCTGCATAAGCATGCCATCCGATTCTTGAATCCTGATGTCTTTCTTTTTCCCTTCATTTCTTAATTGAACCATTTCTTGAATTTCTTCATCCACCGACTGAGCTTCGAGTATACAATCAACCAAAACTGGCCTGACTTGAAAACTAGCAAGAAAAGCTTCTCTTCGATCTTCTAACTCCAACTTTACTCCAGT